CATGTTAGGTTGCTTTCTTTACTTATTTGAACTATTACAGTCATCAAATTGTCTGGTGGATAACGAAGTCTCCATTATCTTGATTGCTGTAATGTTGGCTGAAAGTAATTTATTTTTTATTAGCTTGAATGAGCTAGCAGTGCATAAGGCTCAAAACTGAACAGTGAAAGCTGGTTAGCTGAAAGTTATTGTGTCTTGTGAATGCTCATCTGTTGCATCTGTTTCCTGCTCTGAAACTGAAATTGCCCATTCGTATCAGGCGGGGGAATTATATTTGTTTGGAGGAGTCTTCTTTGTTTCTTGTCCCTCTCTTATTGCAGGCTGTTTGATTTTTATAAAGCTAATGATTTATACATATTTATTTACAAACACATACTAAAATCCACACTAAGGTGTGTGTAGCTCCAAAACCCTTTATGTAACACTCAAAATTTGTATTTTTATTATTTAATTTATTTTAATTTTTATTAGAATTTTTGTTTAATTTTATTCTATTTTAATATTTAATTTATAAAATTTTAATTTAATTTAATTTAATTTAATATAAATAAAAATAATAATAATAAAAAATATGGTAAAATTATTTTTGGGATTTAATTAAAATTGATTTTGAGAAAAAGGGATGAAAATTTGGATTTTGGGGTGTTTTTGAAAAGAAAATCGAAAATTGAGGGTCAAAACGCAATTTAAAAAAGTTGTGCCACGTCAGCAACTCAGTCAACAGCCCCAACTAACCAGAACATGCCGCGTGGCAAGGAAGTTGACGCTGGAGACCACGTGGGATGGAGCCACGTGGGCGATCTGCGTGCACGCGATCAAACGATCCAGATCTCACGCGTGCGGACGGCCCAAATCTCACGCGTGCGGACGGCCCAGATTGAATCACGCACGGACAGCCCAGATAACATCACGATAGACGGCTCAGATTTATTTTCATTTTAATCGCGATCTGACGGCCTAGATTAAATCGTGATGGACAGCTGAGATTAAAAGGGGAAGGTTATAAATAACCTCACCCACACCCAACCCCAAACCCTAGCCGCCAGTACCCTCGCCGAATAAGAAGAACCAGTCACCGGAGGAGCCGACCGCCGCCACCTGCTGCCGCACCGGAGGATTTTCTGACCGCCAAACGAGGTAAATTTTCTCCCCTTAGCTCGTTTTTCGATGCTGAATCCGCCTATGGCCAAATCGAAGCTAAACCACCGGCCAATCGGCCATAAAACACCGCTGAAGTCCAGCGGCACTACCGCGGCTTCCCTCAGTTTTTGCCTCCGATGAGGCCCTTTCCGGTTCCCGTTCGATGTAATTTTTACACCACTGTGATCACCGTCCTTTTCTCTATAGGTTGACCGGAGCAAAACATCAAATCGCGACTCGCGCCGAAGAAGCCGTTGCACCCGAGAGCTCCGCCGCCGGTAAGTCTCGATTTTTCGTGATTTTTTGGCCCACCGAGGGCCCTAGGGTTGTTTTATCGCAGGAACCAATGCAAGTTTGGCCAAATTCGGTCGAAAACAGCCAACCTGAGGCGGATAGTCCCCGCGGGCGGCGGTGCCGTCGCCGGAGCACAGCGGAGCCACCGTGCCGGAATTTCGATATTGGCCGAAAGGGCCCTGGGTCTGATTTGGGGTTTTTTGGGGACACGTGCAGGTACTGGAAGCGTGTTTCAGTTTCTGAGAAAAAAAATTCAGAAAATCTAGGGACTGCCCGTAGGCGCAGTGTAAAGCTGATTTCAGACCCCGAAACAAGTAAGGATCTCTCACCCTATTTTCTATCACGGTATTAAAGTTTAATAAATGATAAACGGTATTTTATGAATTAATAGATATGTATAATTAATTAAGATTGCTAATGGAGCCCGAATCTGATGTGTTTTTCGGTCAGTTGTTGTTTGATCTATTTTACAGTTTTAAATCCAGTATAGTATCTGATGTGTTTATTCTATGGTTTTGTATGCATGAATTACGATTTCATTTATTATGGTTTGAGTTATTGTGAACCCGATGTTGTATTGTCTTGTTTGGTGTTCATTATTGGTTTACATGTTTATGTTTGATTGGATAATTGAGACCAAGAAAAATAGAAAAAGGTACGTGAATTGATAAATGGATAATGGCTACAGCCTTACTAGATATCCTGAGAGATGGTGGACGGACTGGGTCCGTAGGGAACCCTACCGGGAACGTGGTCTCTCATATCGGACGGGGTATGGAGACCTTATGTGTTTTTGGCGCCCATACCGGACGGAGTATGGGGACGGCCCATTTCACCCTCATACCGAATGAGGTATTGAGGCTTATGGTTTAGGCGCCCATACCGGACGGGGTATAGGGATGGCCCTGGAATTAAGTTATTAATGTGAATGGTTCACGTGTAGCGGGGACCCCCTATGGATCCCCATGGATACTAGTAGACTGATAAAAGATGAAAGTTGTTGTCTAATGATTGAAAAATGAGAGTTTGATATGTGTTATGTTACAAAGTGTATATGATTTTATGATGTAATTGTTTTAATAAATTGTTGATATGTGTTATGTTACAAAGTGTACATGATTTTATGATATTTATGATGTAATTGTTTTAATAAATTGTTTCATGAATCTCACCGAGGTAAGTGGACAGTAAAGGTTTTTATTATTGATAAATGAATTTGCTATAAATTATGCTCCATTGGTCGTTTTTTGCTTTCTACCAACCTTTACTCATGTGGTAGTGAGATAGTGTGATGTCCTTACTAGGCTAGTGTAACTCATTCCGTACTTAACCATTTCAGATCAGGAGGACTTGGTTCCCGAGCCTGTCCCGCAGGAAGACGGCGAGTAGATGACTAAGAAGTTCATAGATTTATTTATAGCATTCATTACAAGTGTTTACTTCAGTTATTTTATTCTTTCATACGTTTAATACGTTTTGATTATTGTGTAAGGGATATTAATCAGAATTTTTATTTCGCTTCTGCATTTAGAACTTTTTAATACATACATTTCATCTTTAAATTTCTGGGGCCGTTACACTTTATTTTTATGTGAAATAAGAAAATAACCCAATAAAGTAAGACAATTCAAAATCAAAAAAAAGGAAACAGTAAATTAAGAACAATAATGAAAAAAAAAAGTACAAAAGAAGAATAAAAAATGCTTCAACCAAGAGCTTATTTTTCTTTTGTTAAAC